AATCGAAAGGAGACTGCGACCACACCAGAGGCCACAACATCTTGGTCTTCATATATTCAACACTATAAAGGTAAAGAAAACAGCAACCATACTTTAGGCCACACCATCTTCGTCTTCATTTGGGTGTCGAAATCAGCAGGTCAAGAAGAATGCCTAAATCTAGGGGCTAACCTAAGTTGATGTCAATCAACACTAAAATGAAAATAGTAAAGCTGATAATTCAGGATTGCATATACGATCACTTAAGCAAGTTTTCGATAGATAGTTACTATCAGAAGCAGATATTGAATAGGTTATAAGAAAAAAAGAATATATAATAGGAGCATAAGAATGAAGCTTTATCATGAGTAAAATACTTATAAGTGAATGAAAATTTGTAGCTGAGAGAAGCCCGCCTCGTAACACAATGGAGAATTAACCAAGGAAAATGAGAAAGGGTTACGAAATGTACTACGTAGCTGAAAAGCTAAATTTTCAAATTTAATGGTGAAATATTTTAAGAGCCCAGCAAAATTGAGATATAAATCCGAAGCAGATTCTCCTTACTTTATTACAGTAGACTACGAACCCAAAAGTTGATATCTAATGCTGACTAAAAGTAAATTGATAATAATGACCTTATCAAAAATATCTACGATTAACCAAATAATTAAAAAATTTTTGCAAGGTGAGATTTTTAAGTATAAAAACAAGAAAATGACTAAAGAAATTAAAGTAAAACGAGATCTAAAACTAGAGAAACTAATTCAACCACGGACCAATACCTGCTTAATAATGCTGAGTAAAGCGCGGAGGCGCTGCACCACATGATCAAGGTTCAGCAGTCGGGCTTTCATAGCACAAGAAATAGGTAGATTCTGGATAAGCCAGTATGAGAAAGGAACGGCTAACTCCTCATTCCAGTGATCCATCTTCCAGGTGCTATTCCAGGCCGTCAATTCAGTACAGATAGCAGAGACCAAGTAGCTCTGAAGAGCAAGAATAAAAAAGAATAAGGATAGAACATTAGACGAAGGAATGGAAAGTAATTTAAACTGTAGGGATACGATATGGTATAGAGAGTAGAGCCAAATTAACTGGTCAAGTACGAGATGAGACATTCAAGTTTTTCATCGGTCAAAAAGCTGGAAAAGTTGACAGACATGAAATAACAGAGGAATGAATAAATGGAAAGTAGCAGTACCATGAAAGTTCGCAAAATTCCTATATTTATAATTAATATGATAACTATCAGATTCCTTTATACGAAAAACCAGTCACCATTCCGATTATGGAAGGAAATTAATGTTGTAGAAAAAAAAGAAGCTTCCAAAAGTCGTTTTGGGCATCCAATTTGGGATATTACCATGGAGAACAACTTTATTATAAATAAGCTTTAGCTTATCACAATATATTTTCTATGACACATAAAACGAAAGGCTAAAAATTACATAAAGATACACGAATTAATCTTTCCATACATCTCAATTGACATGCTGTGCACGATTAACCTTAGGATAGCAGGGCTGCGAGTGTAAATTAAGGTATGGTCTTTATTGAAAAAGAATGGAATTTCTTATTTCAAACAAGAATCCGGTAAGGGTTGGACAGGGGCAGATTAATAATATTTTTCGTAAATGAGTAGGTTCTCGAGACTACCAGTAAATCAGATATATGAGTGGTGTTTAACCTATTTCGTTAAAGGTGATGAAGGACTGGTAGTTGACACAGAATGTGATATATAAAATGCCTGACCTTCCTTGAAATTCACATCTGCTCTGTGACCCAAGGGCACTCGTGGCAATGTAGGGTAGTGGTTAACGTGTCGAGCTTACACGCTGCACTGTTATGGTTCGACCCCAACTTGGGATATTGATAAGACCTATACGAGGCCGAAACTGCAGTCC